CCCCACCCACACCCCATCCACACCTACACCCACACCCCACACTCACACCAACAACACCCACCCACACCCACACCCGCACCTCCACCCATACCCCAACTGACTTTTCATCGAGCGAAAGCATTTTGAGGGGTTTCTTCTTGCGTTTGTTACTCTGTTTCATTTTTCGCTGAATGACAAAATGAATTTAAACGAAAATTTGCAAGTTGGAAAAATCCAAGTTGTTATCTATAGAGAACAGGGTATATAATATACATGATAACATGCATTCATCATAAAGTAAAAAGCTCACAGAGAAAGTAAGTGTAACAATACATTTTGGGAATTGAGACGTAATGAGACAATCCTTTTTCTATTTTCTATAGTTGAAAATTGTGCGAAGTTATTCATGTGTTTTCCTGTATGGTCTTTGCTACTTTTCCTTGTTTCGCTTCATTTTGAAACAAATTTATGTGGCATACGTGTTTCTCCCAAGTATTACTCATGCCGAAATTTAACTCAATACAATATAAAAAATATACAGGTAGGCGATATTCTACTCATGAAGTCAGTTTGTACACCATCCCCAGGATTTTACAATATTATGAATATTCAATATGGGCTGCCAGTTTCTACAACAATATCAGAATCTCACAATATTACGAATGCTCGACACGTGCTGCGGATAGGTTATTCACTAACACGAAAAGGTTACATTTTTATTATGGAGGTTTTGAGGCAGATATATGTGATCGGTGGCCAACGCTATGCGAACGGGTTTTATTGGATAGTTTCATCGCCGCTGGCTGCCTTCCGGAAAATCATACTTTTCCTCGCAGCTTGGCACATTCTACAACGTTTGCAGCGTCCGCGTTCTCCACAGATACCGAGTCCTTCGTGGCTGACGAAGTTCAGTTTTTAGCTGTAAAAGGTGTGGAAACAACGAATGACTTCGTTCTTTCTTCTCTTACAAATTCTCTCCATTCGTCATCCGCAATACTCGATGCTTTTGTTGCTCTTTCTTCACAGGCCGATTATGAAGAAAGAGAAAAAATCCATGACTTTTATCTCAATTATCAATCTTCATCAGTAATTCATTATTACACACACGACAGGTTTTTTTCCTGCATAATTAATCGTTTGCTTAGACAAGGACAACTCCACACTATCTATCAATGGCGAAAACCAATTACCGATCTGATCAATAGTCTTCGACGACCATTGCCATCAGAAGATGACAGTGTCTCATTGATTCTCTATCGTGGTCAGCAAATAACTGTATTCGAGCTTGAAAAAATGAAAAACCATGTGGGAGAAACCATCGCTTCTTCTTCTTTTCTCTCAACCACAATCAAGTATCAAATCGCTGAAATATATGCCGGGAATGGATCTGACGCCAATCCTTGTTATGTATCAGTCATGTTAAAAATTCATCTTGATACAGGTCAACCAATGCGTCCATATGCTCTCATTAACAATAGTGCCGAGGAAGAAGTTTTATTTTCACCTGGTACTAGGTTTATTCTCATGTCCTGTCGAAAACTTCATGATAATGGTCGCTTCTGGCTCTTTGAACTGAAAGCCATTCCCGAAAAAGAACAAGAACAATTGAAATTAAATCATGGAGAAAGCTTTTTTGTTGCTGAGTCACCAAATAGATGGCCGACATCGGTCGTGATTGTTCGTTATATAATCACCTGATGAGACCCTTGAGCAAGGTCGAAACCAGTCTCAGTCATTCACTAACATTTTGGTAGATATCTTTAGAAAAGTGTCATGGAAATATTGATGGAACAAACTTCACTTACTTTAGTACCAGGGTTGCCACCTTTTGAAGTTCGAAAAGCAGAAAATGACAGAAGTTTTATTGTGAAAAAGCAGAAACAAAAGCAGAAAGTGTATTTCTGCTGCGAAGCAATCTTTTAAGCTTTCACGTAATGAAATCACAAAGAATTTCACACCAATTTCCCATCGTGATTGTACAAAATCAAGAAAAAATCTAGTTAAACACAAAAATAGAATTATTGGATTCGTTTTCTTTTGAATGTGCATTTTACATCTAATTTAATAGCTTTCAAAAAATCTTCGTTGCACAATATATGTTTATACAGCACTCGCAAAAAGTTTCAGGATATTCGAAAAAAGTTCTCCAACACTTTATGTTTAAGTTGAATCTGAAAATAAGCATATGTTTGGCATTATTATTAACCAACGTTTCATATATTATTGAACGAATGAATCTTCGCAATTTGACATCAAGAGAAAAGTATCAAACATAGATATCCAACGGCTAAAAGTTCTGTAACAAATCTTGTTCTTTTCACCTATTGACATTCCTTCACTTTCAAATACTATGAGTGGAAAGAGTTTGAAAAGCTGACTACAGTGGATATGTATTTGTTTAACATCCCAAGTGAGCAAAAACTAAAAGAAGACACCCGACATGACTAGTCCAAAGTGTCCACAGCAGCCGTCAAGTCTAGTCTGAAACGTCTTGCACATCCGTCATGACTAGTCACCTTTTGGAGAAATGTCCTTCAAACTCGTCTGGACTAGTCCCGAGTGTCCTTGAATCCAGTCATGTCTAGTCCGTTTTGTCCGTTGACCCCGTCCAGACTAGTAGGAGAACTAAAAAAAGAAGATGCAAGGTGGATTCGAACACTCAACCCGACAGTATTCGAAACCTGACGGGCATCCTGCCGGGAGACTAGGACACTGAAATGAACTGACGTCCGTTTATACAGTGTAAAATACAAAATTGATTCCCGTCCATCCAGTAAACAATCAGAAACCAGTCGATGTCACACGACTTTGACTAGTCTGAAACGTCTTCGATAGTAGTCAGGACTAGACCGAAGCGTCGTCTTCACTCGTCACGACTAGTCCTTTTTTAAAGAGTGGGTGTGGGTGTGGATGTGGGGGGTGTGGGTGTGTGGGTGTGGGTAGGTGTGGGGTGTGGGTGGGTGTGGGGTGTGGATGTGGGTGTGGGTATGGGTGTGGGTGTGAGTGTCCTGTTCTTCCCATACAGTCACCTACACCGACACCCACACCCACACCCACACCCACACCCACACCCACACTCACACCCACACCCACACCCACACTCACACCCACATCCACCCCCACACTCACACCATCTGTGAAGCAGTCGGATTGTAGGTGGAAAGAACAATGAGTGAGGTTTGGGTGACACCACATGCAGTTTATCAAAGAAAAGAGAAGTGATGGATCCAAGGGGAAAGCAGCTGACTTAGTGAACTTTTTGACTTTTTTTAACTTACCTGACTTAGAATGATTTTAGCGACTTTAATGACTTTAAAAAACATACACCCCCGGGGAAAGCTTCTCCTCCTCTTTCTTATTATGCTATCATACTCCACATCGAATTTATTACCAAGTGAAGATATGACATAAGAGTTTTATTTCAATGCCGTATACATATGATACTGAAATCAAACTTATGACATATCCCGGTAATAAATGTCATGTGCATGAAGTTTGATAGTATAATAAAAAACCATAGGAGAAGAGTATTGGCCCCGAGTGTAGGTTAAATTAGTAGCGAATTCGCATAATGTCAGCGGCAATTCATTCAAAAACCTGTTCTAGAGCTCCTACTCAGTGTTTTAAGTACAATATTGCTAGCTCTATCCACTAGGGTGTGTTGTGTGTGGGTGTGAGTGTGTGGGTGCGGGTGCGGGTGCGGGTGTGCAAGTGAGTGAAGAAAAGAACAACACTCGTCTGCACAGCCCACTTATTTTTTCAATTACATTACCTTTTACTTATTTCTTTATTGTTGTTAATGCGCGGCTCTGATGAGTTTTTTAATATATTGGGTGCGAGTGTGTGTGGGTGGGTGGGTGGGCGTAGGTATGAGTATGGGTGTGGGCAGGCGTGGAGGGTGTGGGTGTGGGTGGGTGTGAGTGTGGGTGGATGTGGGTGTGGGTGTGTGGGTGTGAATGTGTGGGTGTGGGTGTGAATGTGTGGGTGTGGGTGTTGGTGTGGGTGTTGGTGTGGTTGGTGTGGATGTGGGTGTGGGTGTGGTTGGTGGGGATGTGGGTGTGGGTGTGGTTGGTGTGGATGTGGGTGTGGGTGTGGGTCAAAGTATTCCACCCACCCACTCACACCCACACCCACACCCACCCACACCCCACACCCACACCCACGCTCACACCACCCCCACCCACACCCACACCCAGCCACACCCACACCCACATCCACACCCACACCCTCAAGAAAATTTTCGATATTAACTATCTTATAAAATTTTACAAACAGGGCTTAGAACTTTTGGTTACCCCTAAGTACATTATGTAAACTTTGAAGAAGAACATCTAATTCAGCAATAAATTATGCAACTGAATGGCGAGAACTGATTCCTTTGTCTAGAAAACAATTTTCGGTTTTTCGTTTTAGAATTGCCAGTTCAGTTATTCGTCTTCTAGATGCTGTTTATGAATCATCAAATATAAATCTGAGACCTAATTTAATGGTGTGGCTGTGCGTGTACATGTGGATGTAGGTGTGGTATAGGTGGGTATGTATGTGTGAAGCTCTATCTTAACCCATAGCCACACCCATAAACCCTTAATACCCTTGACGTCTTTGAGTTCGTTGCCATCCTTGGCTTCGCTGAGTTCCAGACCTACTTTGATATCCTTGATTTCTTTGGGTTGGTTGAGTTTCTTGACGTTCTTGGGTTCTTTGACTTTGACTTTCTTCACTTCTTTGGTTTTCTTGGTTTCTTTGAATACCTTGGATTCCCATTAGTCTTATCACTCCAATTTGTTAGGCTCTCGTTTGGAGGGAAAGGTGACTTCTGCCCCAGACTACAACTCAGGGCGGAATACTATGTCAAAAACCCAGGTCTGCTCTGGGAACGAGAACACAAACGTGAAATAATACAAAAGACTTACCTAGTCTTGATATAATGAATGAGGATGTATATAGGGATGTGTGAGGTTTTATTCACAATAAAACCAAAAAGACAATATAATAATGATGATGGGGATGAAAGACATCAAGAGGAAAACAATAACAAGATCAATAACAAGATCAACAAGAAGGAAGATGGAATAGGGAATGAGTCATGTGAGAAAAAGGAAAGCGAATAAACACTGGATCGTCCATGTAAGATATATATATGTATATATATCTATATATAGAGGAAAGGAAAAGACCCATAGTGTACAACTGGACGTTAGCGGTAATAGAGTGACCTCTATTGACGCTAACACAATTTCGTTAATTTTAGGATTCAGGATTCCTCAAAAGTTCTGAATCTAGGGAAATCGGACACATCGCCACACTCTCACACCCTTAACTATTCGAATATACAAACCAATGCTATCTATAAAAGCACGTGATTTACTTCCATTAATTTCATGCGCAGTTACAATTATTCTTTTCACATTTAATATTGCTCTAACAATGCCAGTTTATAGAAAACAAACACATGATGATGAAAACCAATGTTTTGTGTCAAAACAAGTATGGGATATTTTAATTGTTTACGATTTGTTCATCTATTTCGTGAATCATCCTATCATGAATTGGTCGTAATGGTTGCAATTTCATTTTTACTCTCAATTACAGGGGTAGCTTTTGCAGTTGAATTTAATTTTAACTTATCATTTCAAATTACTCAATTATGCCCACATAAACTATGTTGGTGTACTCGTAATGTTATTTATTACTTTATAGCAATTCCTGCTTGTCTATTTCTTTCGATCAGTATAATTATTTTTCTTCTGGTAATTTATTACATATTAAATCAACCTCGAAGAACTACATCACTCGATCCATCACATGGAAAAATGAAAAAACATGTGTAGTAGTATTACTTGCAAAATGTGCAACTCAAGGTATTGGTTGGCTTCTTGGTCTATTTCTGACATTTGGTAATGAAGACACCCAATGGTTTAGTACGGATTTTTAATATATTTAATGGATCATAAGGTTTTTAGGCTATTATTTTGTATTTAATAATTCTATCAAAACATGTAGATCGAAGAAAATTTGTGGCACATGCCGAAAAGACAAGAGGTCATCAGAATTAACATATCATCAATACGAAAAATGTGATGAGGAAAATGATAAAAGTATCACATTCATTCGATAAATCTGATGACATCAACAGAATGGATCCTAAACTCGGTGATTATATTTCGGATTCATACCGTTAGAACAATATCTATTAACAATATTGATTTAACATTATCTTAATAACACTAACTGAATATGATTTCTGATTAAAATTATTTGTAGTCCATCGACAATATGTCATAAAATTAATATTCAGCCATGTTTATTATAGTGTTCATTAAACTGATTAAAATTTCGTCAGAAAAGAAGAGATATCCAGAAGGTTCCCTACAAATTCAAGAGGTGTTGTAAAAAACATGATTTCGAGGTGATTTGAATTTAAAACGTTCTTAACAGGTGTTTTATAATGTTTAGCGATTACATATATTGTATCTTAAACTTTGTATTTCTATTGCTATGCATGAGATAGATATACCATCCATATTAACAAGAAGCAATTTAAGTATTCTAAAGTTATAAAAAGGGAGATTTGTTTTTTGAATACTGTAATACTGTTCTCGAAACTATTAATAAGGATCCTAATATGTTTTCGCTGTTGTTTCATGGATTTAGCCGTTCTCAGTGATGATCAGTCATATAGAGGAAGACCGAAACAAAATAGAGATAAGTTTCTGAATGATTACATTTTCTAATTTGAATATGCTCTAAAGAAAAAAATTCTTATGAAGAACAGATAAGAGGCGTAGAATGTAACCAGATAAATGTAATCAGTTTCAGATTATTTATAATTCAAGAAAATGAAGAAATAATGATTGATGTTTTACTTTTATGTACTTCACTCTTTTAACTCACAAGGAATGTTTTATTTTATGAATTTCACTGTGATGAAATGAACTATAATATTACATGCCGTCAGAAAACAAGTGAACCAGAAAATGGTTTGAGCTGACAGACAGTAATAAATCAATCTTAAACCATTTATTCATTTTCTTAAAAAATAATTCTATTTAGATCTTTTAGGACGAAGTCGAGCAGTAACTGTTTTTGATAAAATAAAAATTTTAGCGAAAAAAAAACACAAGATTCTTATTAATTGTTAAATTAATAACAATTTTCTTAAAATGAAATTCGTGTATAGATAAATAATTTGCTTAATGCATGGATATACGCAGTTCCTAATGATTATTTCGAAGTCATGATGCTTTCGATCCATATACGTGTATAGATTCTACTTGATAATTACCAAATTTTTTCTAATACAGATGTTTCTGATCGCATACAGTATTCAATTCATTGATTTTGTGTTACTGAATAAAATATCATCAAAAATAGTTCTTTTTTTGTAAGCATTTTAAACTTCTAATACCAAATATCATGATATACTGTATAACAGAGAAAACTAAATAAACACACACGCACGTTCTATTTTTCGACTTGATTTTATTTTTTTATATGATGATGGCATTAAGTTTTATGTACTAATGTAGTCTATACCTAAAGAAGGTATTATGCATGTGCCTATATAGTATTTCATTCAAGTTGATAGTGGCTAAATTTTCTCATTGTTGAAGTTAATAACATAAGAATTTTGATCCCATCTACTACTTAAATATAGTGTCCTAAATAACTATATTATCTTTAATCTTGTGTTGTACATAACTCTTTTTGACTTCTATCGTTCATGCGAGTTGTTTCTCTATTTCTCTAATTTCTACCCAACAAGGAAAACTGATAGTTTTCTTTTTCAATGTAGATTGTGTACAAGTTTTTAGATCGATCAAAGAAAAAGTAATCCTTGTTTTGAATAAGATTATCAAATAAATGAGATGTATTTTTCCAATTTATATTCAACGATATCAGCTGTCATTAGTTTGTGAATAAGTACCATATTATTGTTCATCATTAAGATAGAAATCATTTCTGCTTATGGATTACTATACAGAATAAAATATGAAAATATTGGTAAAGTTAAAATATTATTTCTACTTATGTTTCATGTGATAATGCATTGTAAAAAAACACTAGATATCGAATTCTACAAGATGATGCTCTTTTTAAAGAAGATTGACAGTGGATACTATTGAATTTAGAAGTATATTTGGGAAACTTGAAATACTATTTTCTAAATCAACGAAAAGAAAAGTTGGATGTTTTATCTGTCAGCAAGCAATGGTCCGAAAACATCGAGTACATCTGGAATTTCATCTAATGATTAAATGCAAATTTGAACATTAAACATTGTTTGATCTTTTCATTATCAATTTTTATCTGCTACGTTTCTGGTATATAATGAGCTGAAACTTAATAAGTTAAATATAGTCCGTTGTAACCTATTATTCCATTCAATTATATAATAATGGATTGAAATCCTACGATAGAATATTTTCATGTTAAAAAATTATTTACTCTGCGTTCAACTGAATGTGTATTATAATTTAAAATAAAATGACATTTTCTTATATTTTGTATCTGTTGAGTTCTATATCTCCTATTTTCATTGTCGACAATCATTTAAAAGAGTGAATCTGTTAATGATTTTGTGAAAAATGGCTGTGTATGGTCAGAAAAAAGTATTCAAGAATGAACTTATAACTATATTAAAACTTAAGAAGAAAAGAAAAGTTAATACTTTAATATAGTTAACATCGAATTTTATGTAACTTCTACAAGCTCCCATGAACCGACTAGACAAGGATTCTATCGGAATATATGGAATGGTTTTAATCTGTGAAACTTGGAAAATACTATAGAATAGCTTGTTATTTAAAAAGACTCATTCGTCTGATGGTGTCTTTATCATGGCAATAATGTTATCTAAATTGATATACAACTCATACTTAAAATCTTAAAAGGATAAGAGTATTTTTTTCAGATAAATTCAGCATTTCATAGAACTATCGAAATCAGATAATATTGACTCTTACATCAACGACTCACAGTCAGTATGATGACTTGTTGCTTAGTCTTAACAGTCTCACCACTTCGTTGAGTGAATTACAAAAGAAAGAAGCAAAAAGTGTATTTTGATTATTCAATGATAGACGTAAATTGAGAACTTTTACTTGACCTTGAATGAATGGATACAATATACTATTCATATATATGATTCTTTTTTTTGTGATTAACATTCCTTAAATATTTATTTTCGTTTTGGATAGTTAATATTTAACTTAAGCTTTTAAAAGGTGTAAAAAAAACATTCAAAGTTTCTATTTTTGGTTTGAATAACTGTCAAATTACTTGAAATCATCTGAATATATAAGTTAAACAAATGTAGTACATCAATCTTTCAGATAGGTATCTTTGAAATTCATACTTATAAATTTAGTCTATTGGTCAATTACAATAGTTCGAATGAGTAAATCAGCGTCAATTGTTTCTTTTGTAAAATATTTGTTTGTATTACTCGTATTTAATATTTAAGAAAGTTAATCAATATCTAAAATGACCCTGGAAATCGTAGATCTCATAAGAATGAAGGATAGACATTTCTCGATTAATTAATTGAAAGAGACAATCACTTATGATTAATTTAAACTAATTCAATGGAAATACATATATTTTGACAACGAAATATTTCAAATGGAAGATAAAGCAAACAAAATTACTCAAAAAAAATTTCATTCACTCGTACCTGATGAATAATAAACAAAAAGACTTGATTGTCATGATCACCTTTTACTTCCACTTTTCAAAATCATACAAAACCATATCTTATTTCACTGATGATTTTATGCATCGTTTCTTGTTCTTTAGCAGCTTTGTCCTATGAAAGTATTAAATATTTTGCTTTCTTCAAATAAATACCCTATATATAATGCAAGAATATTATATCGAGGTTTTCGTGTCTGTCAAAATGTATATTTGTGATTTTTGTTTTATTTGATATATTCTTTTTTTTCTGTAGGTGCGACGAGAACATTCTATGGTATGTCTGAGATACTGGTAATTTTACAATCGGTTTGTAGTTTTGTTGTTGATCATGATGTCTAAACGATTATATTAAATTACAATCCACATTCTGATCATCATCAAATTTATATTTTATTCATGTCAAACTTTCTTTTTTTTTCTTAATAATGAATCGTTTTATTTTAATATGACGTGCAGTTTCAGTAGACAGAAATCTTTATTAATATATTTATTAATTATAATTAATTATAATAAAATTATAGCACAATCGAATATTGAATATTTCGATGATAGTGATACAGATATATTATCGAATTTCAAAGATGAAATCATATTAAAACAAGATTTACGAATTGGGCACGACACAACAGATTGTAAGACTATTTGAAAATTTATGTATTTTATTAAACTTATAATTGCAATTAATATTCTAGTGGATTCAACAAGTCACTCAATGGAAAGTATTTCATTAGTATCAACAGCAGCAAGTAAGAGGAAGGAAGAACCTTTAAATTAAATTAAAAAAATTTCTAGCTTCTCCAAGTCTAAGTGAAGTGATGCCCGACACAGTGATAGATACAAGTTTATTTTTTCCTGAAAGTAACAAAGCAATATCGTTTCGATTGATTAGTAATACTTAGTTTAATTTATACAGGTTCTTCACGGATATTTACTAATCAGGATTGGTTATCAACAGCTCTTATTCATCGTTGGTCTACATCACACCAAGATACAGATTCGTCATCTGTTGCTTCAGGTATACCATAGGTTTTCATCTTCGCACGAAATTTTTAAGAAATAAAAAACATGAAATTAATCGTAATTTACCACAAAGATTGTTTAAACTACGTCTGTCGGTTTATATCCAGTAGCTATTCAAATAAGTCTCTGTTTTATAAGATAAGATATTTAAAAACAATTGAAAGAAATTTTAAATAT